TCTGATTTCTGTTTAAGAAGCCCTCCCTTTGCTTCATTTTTTTGTACGGTCTTAGTTCCATAAATTTTTCAAATATGTTCTCTGAGGGCACATAATTCTATTCTTTTGACACTTGTACAGCGATTCCATGAGTCCTTCACACATCTTCCATGATTTTCCTCTCATCTCTTACTAGGTTCTCTTACCACTTAACTATCCTGTTAAAGGTTTAAATGAGATTTCCCAATTTTTCTTACAAAATACTGCTGTTTAAAAAGGATCTTTTAAAAGCTTTCTAAGTATCTCCAGGATGTCATATTTGCTTTCCAAGGAATTTCCTCATTTATTCTGATTGATTTTTTTTTAGGCACCAATCTTCCTTTCTGTACTGGCAACAACTGAAATGTATTACATATTTCTACTACCTTCTTCAAGAGAAGTTGGACTTGAGTGTGTTGTGTTGTCTTTCTAACTTTGTAGTTCTTTTTCCTGGCTCTTAGCATCTCACAGTCTGTGTTTTAAGATTCCAATATTTCTTTTCAGTATCTCTCTCAGTATTACTACTCATCTTGACGTTTTCTATTTTCCTTCTCCTAATACCCTTATTCTGTTAGTAAAAAATAAAGCTATTTTCAAGTTACTCCAGTTCATTCTTTACTTCTAGGGTAAGTCAGACCCTCATAGTCAAAAGATAACAGATACAGACCTTTAAATTGTTTTCTTAGTCTTGGGAATTTTCAATAATTTCAGTCAATTATTTTCTGACCTCAACCTAAGAAAAGTCCATATTTTCTTTATAGAAGAGCCTCCATTCCTTTTGACTTACATATAAGTAAAATCCACTTCCCTCTATGATTGCAGCTATGGTTTGAATCTCTGAAAAATTCTCATCACGTTTCTTTAGTTGTCAAATGAGAGTCTACTTGAGATTGTGTTCTTGAGGTAACTAAATCTATGGAACTGCAACATGAGCTCAAGTCTGGTCTTATCTCCTCCAGTACTCTGTCACTCCAAAGTCACTTGAAAATAGTGTTGCATGCACACACACACACACACACACACACACACAAAATTTGGAGACGTTGATATAATAGGCAGGCATACTTGTATGGAGCTTAGAATTTTAAGCTACAACTTCACTAGAGTTTGTAGCATATTTTAAATTTAGCCACTGTTCAAATTTCTGTCCTAGTAGCTTGAGATCTGGCTGAGAAATTCATGAAAGGGAACAACCAATGTTCTTTTATGACCTAATATTTCAAAAGCTTATTTAAGAAAATGGAAGGCATGTCTTTTCTTATTGTCTATTTTGTTCCAAGGACCAAGTCTCATGTGGCCTGTACTCATTAAGGCCTAAAGTTTAATGTTACCTCCTTTTAATGATAAAACCTAGTCATTTTAGTACAATATAGTCCATTACAAACTACTAAGGTTAATAAATCCACATGACTATGCTTACCAAAGCCTAAAGTCTAAGTGGTGTTTTTGGACCCACTGAAGCTGTGTGTTAATGTTGGTCCCAACATTCTTTCTGAAGAAGCATCTTTAGTTAAACTTAAGCAGTTTAAATAAAATGTGGTGAAAGTATATAAAATTCTATGGTAGGTAATAAAATATTTTTTAATTTGTAACTCTTGTTTTACAATGTGACATTGAATAATTGCTTACTAGAATTAGTAATTAATAATTAGTTACTCAAATTTTCCCTCACATACTGTCAAGTCTTAACTTTTTGTTAAGATATCCCAGATAGTATGTAAACACTGGTACCTCCTCAATAATACATTTCCTCTGGGAATCAAGTCATGACCTTGAATGCTATTTGCCAATGTGGGTCTCTGCTACTGCACGCACTTAGTTGTATCATACTGGTGGCCACTTTGTATATGTGATCCTTAGTTTCTTTCACTTTTGCTTTTTTGGGATGTTTTAGTTTTCTGTGGAAATTTCCAAAGACTTTTGAAGGTGAGAATGGTGGGAGAGGAGAGTGGGGGTGGCTGCTTTTTCAAATCTTCAGTTTCTTCACATCGACTTAACTTAAAATCTGTCTCTCTCTCTCTTTCTGCCTTTTATCTCTCTTTATACATACATACATACATATTCCATTTGAGATTTCATCTCAATGGAAAGATTATCTTGTTATGGGATATTTGAATATCTTTACTGTCTAAAGACATACTAATACCTCCTTTGCCCTCCTCATTAGATTTTCTTGAAGGGACCAAATAAAATACAGATATAAAAATGCTAAAGGAGCATTAATATATTATATGAGTGAGAATTAAGATTATGGACCTTGTTTTTCTTGTTCACTAGTGTGTTAGTTATTTATTTAGGCATTAATTCCCAAATACTTAAACATCATCAACTATGAGCCAGATATTTGTGGGCCTGGAATAAGAAAACAAACAGAGGCCCAATGTATTGTTTTGCTAAGACTGCTGGACCAAAGTACCACAACATTTAAAAAACAGAAATTTTCCATCTCACAGTTCTGTAAACTAAAATCTGAAATCAAGAAGTTGGCAGCTGGAAGGGTTGGTTCATTTTGGCAATCTTCCAGTTCTCTCTCCTAACAATCTTTGCCATTCCTTGGCTTGTAGAGGCATCACCCTAATCTTTACCTTCATGTTCAAATGGTATTTTCTCTGTGTTTGGATGTGTCCACATTTTCCATATTTCTAAGGGTACTGGTCACATTGGTTTAAGTGTTCACTCTATGCCAGTATGACCTAATTTTAGCTAATCATACTTCAAGTGACCCTATTTCCAAATAATATCACATTCTGAGACTACTGAGGATTGTGACTTCAACCTGTAAATTGGAGGTGAGTCATGATTCAATCCATAACACAGGTATACTTCAGCCTAAATTTAGAAGTTATAAATAAAGCCAACAAGCTATTAAATACATTATACTTTATTGTCCTAGTGTGATGAATGTCTTCATAAACATCTGGAAAGATAGGTTTTAATTTAGAACTCTTAGTCCATGATATTATATGAGATGATTAGGGAATGAAGGTTTATAGAGAAGAGGACCAGAGATTGAGCTCTTGGACACTCTAGTGTTGGAGGGTGTGGACACAGGATGCGTTTGCACAGAGGACTGAAAAGGAGAGACTAGTTCAGAAAGGAAAAGAACAAAAGGGTGTGGGTTCCTGAAAGTCAAGTGAAGAACATGTATTGAGAAAGATGGAGTTACTGATTATGTCAAACATTTCTGATCAGTAGGGCATGTTGGGGCTGAAAAGGGATGTTTGGATTTAGGTATGTGGAGGTTAGCAGAGACCTTGACAAAGGCAATTTGTTTGCAGTGTTGGGGGCCTAACACTTCCTTAGATGGATCTTAGAGAAAACATGGAGAGACTGTATACAATAAACAGAGACAATCATTTTGAAGAGTTTTGCTGCAAGAGTAGTAGGGTAGTGGATCAGTATTTGGAAAGGGAAGTGGAGAGCTGAGAAGTTTTATTTTTTTTAAATAGAGGCCTTAGCATTAATAACCAGAGAAAATCATGGTTGAATGCTGAAGGGGATTATCGCATAAAGAGGAATGAAAGAATACTTTTCAATAGAAGGGAATTCCAGTAATGTTTGTGAGTAAATAAAGGAGGGTGAGACAGGTGTACAAGTTAAGAGATTATTTTTGGGTTAGAGACTGAACAGTTTGTGGTAATAAGTAACCAGGTGGAGTGCAGAATCTGCTGGGTGAGTGGGGGCAATTCTGTGATGTGGGGCAGTTTTCTTCTGACTGATTCCAAATTTTAAGTGAAATGGTATGAAAAGTCATCAACTGAGAGAGAATTAGAGAAGGAGGTGCCTATCAGTGGAGAGAAGGGTGTGTGATCACTGTCTAGCAGAAAGGAAGAATGAATGGGCTAGGAGCAGATAGAATAATTGCTCAATAGGATTAATGATTTACCTGACTTGCACGATCATGTATTTCAGATAGGACCATATCAGCCCACACCAGGCACTCACATATTTCCAAAGAATAAATATACAAATTTTTACATTTTTTACATGGTTATATAGATGACCATGCAAAATAGCTTAAATTACTTTTCTAATCCTACACAGAAAAACACTGAGTAAAGTAAAGGTTTGAAGTCTTTTAAAGTTAATATAAAGGGCAGGAATTTAAAAAATCAGTTTGATTCTCTTAAATAAGATTGTGGCATAGTGCCAGGAGTTGTTCCCACTTCGTAGGTACAATCTGTAGACATTTACTCAGATCATAATGAGCGTGATGATAGGTTCACAAGTAAGGAAAATACTTGAAGTGCAAAGAGTAGAGGTTTTGATCAAAAAAAGAGAGTTTTACAGTTTGAGGAAGTGGAGATAAGGGATAGTGAAATTTAAAACACAAACATTCCTCTGGGTGGTTGAAATTCCTCTGGATGGGTAAAATTCAGTAATGGTAAATTGGTTTAGAAGAGGGTGAACAATTATAAAGGAGTGTCTTCCAAAAATTGGATTGAATAATTTTAGGTATTTGTTTTGTTTTTCTGATAGAAAATAATATAGCATTCTGCTGGGGTTTACCAGTTCCCTCAATAAAAAAGATTATAAATGGTTATGTAGACATTATATTTAATTAAATTTTTAAAATGTTAGATCTTGAACTAATTGATGAGATTTATTTATTTGCTTGTCTTCTTGGAAGATACAATTTTAGGTAATGCTTTTAGTGCAGAATGAAACAAAATGTGACAATGAAAATAATGAAAACAAAATGTGAATATATGTTTGATTTGAAAGACTAAAATTAAATACCCCTTTTATTATTTGACATATTGAATCTTAATAATCAGTACTTTATGGAGAAAGGATTCTAAAAAAAAACAATGAAACACAGGTAGAGAACAAACAACTGTAAATGATAGATTCTGATTTCGTTTTCTTGTGTCTTTAGTATACTATGCTATCTTTGACAACAAAAAGGTCCTGCTCATGTGACAGAGAAGCCCAGAAGTGAAAAAAAATACAAGTATTTAATGAATAATGTATATGTTCATAGCAATGGTCAAATTATACTGTTTCCTAGCGGATACCATTTTTCTTCATTGAGCAGGACATTACAGAGTTGGATGTTAATTGCTCCCACAAATGTAGTTTTGCTCTTTACAATTATCATTAAGACATGTCCTTGGAGCTCTGTGACCTCATCATATACCACCTGAAAAAGGAAGAGAGTAATGAAAATATAAGTTACAGCTATTTAAATTCTTTTTTAAAAAATAATGATTTTAACATAAATAAAATTTTAATAACAAATAGTTAACTAATATCTTGACTTTGACATGGATAAGTATTGTTTCTATTCTAATTCTAAAAATCTAAATGTTCTTTAACATAATGAAGTTTAATGGCAGAATATTTCTCTAAGAAGCTTCTATTTTACCCTGGTTGCATTAATAATTGTCCATCCCAAATTTAAGAGACTGTAAATTACTCTCCAGGAAGGAATAAAATGCCCTTCACCTTTTAACTTCCTTGAATTTATTGTGCTATTTGGGGACTAGAACACTATCTTTCTTTGTTGAAAGCTAATGAGGAAAGCAGACCAAGCTCCATAATTTCCTTGTGTTAATGCAAGACAACATTTCCTTCTATATGTGAAGAAGTCACTCTGGCTACATTAATTTATTTTAAATTGCTATTTCTTAATTGTGAAAATACTCATTAAATAAAATAAAGATGAAACAGAAAGGAATATAAAAAAGTGAAAATCTACATTTCTACCTTGGGGGGTAATTACAGTTAACATTTTTATGTTCTTTTTGTTTTTTTATAGATAATCTTTTAAGAATCTGAATCATAATTGCATTGTATGTACAGTTTTTTGTCTTGTTATGTTTCACTTAGTAGTCATATAACTATTTTCTTTATTTTTTTTGTGGGACCCTCGCCGGTGGCCTGGGATCGAACTGGTGCTGCAGAGGCTGCAGGCAGCCTCAAAACCCAGCGCTCAACCGCTACACCACCAGGGGAGGCCCCATATAACTATTTCCTAAGAAGGGACCTGTTCAACTGTGTTTTATAATATCCAGGAAGAAAGTCATAGACATTCCCACCAGATGCCTGTAATGGTAAAGAAACTTTAAACGTGTAGCACTGTTAGGAAATTATTAGGAGTATCCTGTGCTTCTGCAAATTTATTTGCTTTTTTTATTGTCAAGCTCCAACATAGAAAAAATGTTCTCTTTTTGTGCAAAAAAAAAAGAAGCAGAGGCACAACTTAAGAGGAAAGCCCTTTAAGTCAACTGCGAGAGTAGGGATGTGGTTTCTGTTCTATGACACCACATTCATCTACTATTTATGAACATGTATCTGTGAAATTCCATTTATGACACTCAAAGGAAATAAAAGGAGATACAAAAAATGGAAAACAATACTTTATGATTGGATAATTCATAAATCTAAAGCAATTTACAGTAGGCAGAGCAACATGGCGGAGAGGAGACGCTGCGAGTAAGATCTCCCATTAAAAAAAGTTAATAGGGAGGAAAAGCGGCAGGTCCCAGTGAGAACTGGGACACGGAAGATAAACGGGTGACGCCAGCGAACTGCCCGAAGAAGAAAGTGGCCATAAAAGAGGACTAGAAGGGAGGGAAGCGCAGAACCCTGCTCCCCTCCCCCGCCCACAGAGGCGGCACTCTCCGACCGGCAGAGGGGAGGAAACAACAAACCAAAACGGCCAACAAGAAAAACGGACGCAGCAAGCGGGACTGTGAGTGGAAAGGAACTATTGCAGCCACCACACCCCGTGAACGGGAGCTGTGGAGAACCCTGCAGGATTCGCCGCGGCGGTGAGTGAACGGCTCCGGGCGCCATTAGAGAAGAACAAAGACCCCGGGAGACGCGCACACAGCCCGGGCTGCCGGTAAGCTTGCGCGGAGAGCTGCACGCTCGGCGCGCCTGAAAAGCAAGTGCAGACCAGGATCGCGGCTGCCAAGGTCCCCGCGCCTGCGACCTAGGCTTGCGGGGAGACGACCTAGGCTTGCGTGGAGACGCGCGGAGGTCCTCACTGAGGTGAAGGTCCCTCCCTGAGTGAGCAGGAACCAGGCGCCCAGGCACGGGGGCGGTGCAAAAGGCGCCATTCCCGCGCCACTGAACTGGGCTACAGCCCGCGTCCTGGAACTGAGGGCTTTGAACTGAGACCCGGGGCAAGAAAATTCGGGGCGTGGGTTCTCCACGACGGTGGGGCACAAGGCAGACACAGCACCCCAAAGCTGTTGAGGTGTACCCTACCATTCCCGCTCTGTTCTCTGTCCCACGGGGTGGGGGGAGGCGAAAAACAGCCCCCCAAGGACAATAGGAGAGATCTCTGGCGCCACCTAGCGACCAGGAAAAAAAAAGTCACTAACACCCTATAAAACAGGACATCTCTTAAGACTGCTTGAAAAGGGCAGAAGGTTTCTGGAGGACCCAGTGGCCAGCCGGGAAGTTATTCCACGCCAGGCCCCTTCCGACCAGCAGTCTGAGCCCACAGAGGGAGCAGGCACCCACGTCCGGGGCAGACCGGGTGCGCAGAAGAGTGTGCCTGAAACCGGAGGCGCAGGGACTGCATCCCGCTTCGCCATTTGAGAACAGGGACATTTCTTCAGTAAAAACTGCCTAAAACCAGCAGAAAGCTCCCCCAGAAGACAGAGATGGCTCCTGGAAGAGCCAGAGGGGAGCGGAGAAGTTCACCCAAGATGTCAGTCAGTCCGAGCAACACAGTGTCCCAACACATACGACAAATTAGAAAACAGACAGTAGGGAGTAGAAGAACCACACGCAACCTAAAAACTCCTCAGGAAAGAAGCACACCACAAAAAGAAAACCACTCCCCAGATTGCAACGACAGCAACTTGGAAGAACTTCTGAGCCTTCCAGAAAGAGAATTTAAAATTGCCATGATTAAAAAAGTGATAGATCAGAAGAAAGAAATTGAGTCCCTAAAGAGGGAAGTAAGAGAAATGCAGGAGATCAAAGAATTAATGGAGGAACTAAAGAACTCTGGGAAAAGAAATGAAAGCAGAATAGATGAAATGGAAGAACGAATAAGTAATCTTGAAGACACAGAAATAAAAAGAACCAAAACAGAAAAGGAAAGAGAAGTACGAAGGAAAAAGAATGAAGAAAGACTTCGGGAACTATCTGACTCCATGAGGAAAGGAAATATAAGAGTTATAGGAATTCCAGAAGGAGAGGAGAGAGATGTAGGAACAGAGAAAATATTCATGGATATAATTGAAGAGAACTTCCCAAATGAGAAGAAGGAGCTGAAAATTGATATACAAGAAGCAAGAAGAACACCAAACTTCCACGACGAAAGGAAAAACACAGCAAGACACATAATAGTAAAGCTCCCAAGAATCCAGGACAAGGAAAAAATAATGAAGCTGACAAGAGGGAAGAAACAGATAACATTCAAAGGAAAACCAATCAGGCTGACATCAGACTTCTCTGAAGAAACATTACGGGCAAGGAGAGAGTGGAGGGACATAGTCAACAGACTCCAAGAAAACAGATGCCAACCAAGAATACTCTATCCCGCAAAGCTCTCTTTCCTCCATGAAGAAAGAATATGGACCTTCCCAGACAAAGAGAAACTCCGGAATTTCATTGCGACTAAACCCCCACTCCAAAAAATACTACAAGGAATCCTAAAGCCAGAACCTCAGAGTGACGAATAACAACGAAAGAAGACCAAAAAAAAAAAAAAGTTACTAAAAGAATAAATAAATAAAATCAAAGGAAAGACAAACATAATGGCAAATACAGATGCTAACATATCAATATTAACTCTAAATGTAAATGGACTAAACTCTTCAATAAAAAGACACAGAGTTGCAGCCTGGATTAAGAAACAAAACCCAACCTTTTGCTGTCTCCAGGAAACACATTTAGCTACAAAAGATAAAAATAGGCTCAAAGTCAAAGGATGGAAAACAATCCTACAAGCAAATGGGCCAAAAAAGAAAGCAGGAACAGCTATACTTATATCAGATAAAACAGACTTCAAACTCAAAAAAATAAAAAGAGACCCCAATGGTCACTACATTATGATTAAGGGGACAATACTTCAAGAAGAAATAACACTCATTAACATATACTCACCAAACGAAAGAGCACCAAAATATATCATACAACTGTTGTCCTCTCTGAAAACAGACATCAGAGAAAACACATATGTAGTGGGAGACTTCAACACACCACTATCAACAATGGATAGATCAACAAGACAAAAAATAAGTAAAGAAACTAAAGCTCTAAATAAGGACCTAGAGCATTTGGGCTTAACAGACATCTATAGAACACTAAACCCAAAAAAACGGAGTACACATTTTTCTCAAGCGCACACGGATCATTCTCCAGGATCGATCACATACTGGGGCACAAGACAAACATCAACAGATACACCAAGATTGAAATCATACCAACCATCTTTTCTGACCACGAAGGCATCAAACTAGAAATAAATCATAAAAAGAAGGCAAGGAACTATCCTACCTCATGGAGATTAAAAGCCACATTACTGGAAGACCACTGGACTAACGAGGAGATCAAAGAAGAAATTAAAAAATTCTTTGAATTGAATGACAAGGAGGACACCAATATCCTAAATGTATGGGATGCAGCAAAAGCAGTAATAAGAGGAAAATATATAGCAATAGAAGCTCACATCAAGAAACAAGAAAGAACTCAAAGAAACAACCTAATCTCGAAGCTCAAAGATCTAGAAAAAGAACAACAAAAAAACCCCAGAACCAGTAGAAGAAAAGAAATAATAAAAACCAAAGCAGAAATAAATGAAATTGAAACTAAAAAAACAATCCAAAAGATCAATGAAACCAAGAGCTGGTTCTTTGAAAAAATAAATAAAATAGACAAACCCCTAGCCAGGCTCACAAAGGAAAAAAGGGAGAAAGCACAAATACACAGAATCATAAATGAAAGAGGAGAAATCACAACGGACACAGCAGAAATCAAAAGAATAATCAGTAACTACTATGAACAGTTATATGGAAACAAGTTCAACAATCTAGAGGAGATGGACAAATTCCTACAACTCTACAATCACCCAAAGCTAGATAAAGAAGAAATAGAACACCTAAACAGACCAATTACAAGCAGCGAAATTGAAATGGTAATTAAAAACCTCCCCAAAAACAAAAGCCCAGGACCTGA